CACATATGAATTGATCGACAAAGGAGTTCCAATTTTTCTAGATTCGATTTCCAAATTTGGTAATAATCCTGACTGTAGTGATGGCAATGAACAAAAGGGAAAAAAGAGTAAGTTTATGAAAACAATAATGACAAAAATGACATTGTTGTGATAAAAAATCTCATGGAAAACATGTCAATAAGGATAATAATTGTAAAAAAAAACAAATGTTCATTATTTAAGAATTATTTATTTAGATGAATCTACAAAGTCAAAGTAACTCAGATACTATTAAATCTAACGGAAATTTAGAAAGACAAATAGCTCTATTAGAAAAAAGAATTGAATTAAATTTAAAAAAGAGCAAATTGATATTGAAAATTAAAAGAGATGAGTTTGTGCAGTAATTTTAAAATAAGTACCATAAGATCTGAGCGGTAGATATTGTACCATGGATAAGTATATCACTTATTACAAGAATGTATTGTACTCATCTATACTTTCTATACTTGTATCTTTAATATAAGTACTGATTGTACTATATTCATTTTAACATTACCGTATTGTACTTGCTGCAATGATAGTATATTCTTTGTATAAATAAAACAAATCTCAATTATAAAAAAAATAATGGGTATTATTTGCAATTTACTTATGAAAGTTGGTCAACAGAAGATGAATCAAACACTTTATTCAAGAGAAAAACTGATAATAGATGTGAAATTGAGCAAGATATTAATTGTAATTTATTTTCTTTGAATTATTAACTGATTATTTTTATAATAATAATAATTTTCCAATTTTTTCAAATTTAAAGTATGTTCTATAGCAATGATTAATAAAAATAAGAATTAAATTTGCAAATCGACATAATGAATTATTAACTTACAATTTGTAATGAAATTGTATGTTAAAGTAATCTGATCCCAATAAATTCGGCCAACCGCCCTTGTTTTGTATCCATTCCTCCAGTAGTTGGTAAGCCGTAAAAATTCAACAAATTGTTTAAGTTTTGAGCTTTATATTTAAAAAAAATATTATTTGTAAATTATTTAAAAAGGATAAAGAAGAATGTACTAGTGTACAAACCAGTTAGTCCTCGTAGTTGAGATATGTTAGAGGGAAAACTTGTTGGAAATTGGTTCAGTAAGTTGGGAGGCACTTCAATATTTGTAGTTGGGTCAGTAATTCTTGAATTTAATGATCTACAAACAGACCGGTTATCCCTAAAATATAAAAGGTTCATTCAATAGTTTATTTTTAGTAAAAGGGACATAGTATGATTATGGGAAAAAGACTTGCAAAGATTGGATATTGGTTTGAATTGCATTTAATTGAGTTGTCATTGTATTGAGGGTATTTTGGATAGCCACAAGCTGATTTGTTACATCAACAACAGGCATATTTGGTATTAAAGGCACTTCCTGTGCTAACATGCTAAGACCTTGAGAAAGATTATTATAATTAGGTTGTTGTGCCTAAAACAAATTACAAAGAGAGGTGAGGTGAGACTTGAATCAGAAATTATGTGCATTATTTAATTAAAATTTACCATGATTTATTTTAAAAAAAAAATAAAAACGCGTTAATTTGTTATTTTTTTATCAACTATCACAAGTATAATAGAAAGTTTAATTTAAAAGGAGGATTATCCTTTAATTAGCGCGTGTAACCTTTTGCGATAAATTTTCAAAACCAAATCTTTCTATAATTGTTTTATTTCGATTTAACGGATTTAACGGATTTTCATATATATTCGATTTAGCGGATTTTTTTTTAAAAATCTATATGTTCAAGCATAATAAAAATATCTCGATACAACGGATAATATCGATCATTAACTAATACAGGCACCAAACGTAATTAAATATTAATGATGAAATTTTAAATTAGAAAATAAAAAAAAATCTTCTGACACAAAAAATTTTTTGATAGATTTGTAATAAACTAGAGGATTATTTTATAAATGAATAAATTTATTACTTATTATTGTTACATTTTATTATCATATGTATATTTTATTTGTCGTATGTATTATCATATTATTTATTTTATTGTAAAATATTAGTATTAATATTATTGTACAACATATCACGTGATCGTTTCATAATATCTTGGTTTTGCGGATATCTCGATTTAGCGGATAATTTTTTTGGAACAAACATATCCGCTAAATCGAGATACACTGTGTAATTTCAATTTCACAACAGTCATATACATACATATTAATAATAACAATAACAGATTTAAATTAAATTCCTTTTTTAAAAAAACAATGTCTTTATCGGTCGAATTCAAAAGAAACAAAGGAACCTTTATAGAAGTATGAGCAAGTATTATATCAGAGCAATGTTAGAAACCATTAGTTCAAGCTTTAAAATTAGCAAAATATGTCAAAGTATTTATGTGTAATATAATATTAGATATGATATATAAAAAGAATTGCTCCCCCTTCTTTAATATATTTTTTAAAAAAGGAAGCAAACTATTTATTTTTTCAAGCGGAAATAGCTGCAAATGCTTTAGAAAAGTATAGTAGATAATTTAATTCAAGTCAGAAGTAAGAATATTTTACTAAATTTTGCTGATTTCTTTGTCTTCCTAGTTCTTTTTTGAGCCAGGTGATTTTCCTGTTGTTGATTTATACTTCCATTCTATAGAAAGGTGACAATAATATATCAAAATTTTCTGTGAGCCTTCTGTCACTCTACTAACTTTAACACTTTTAAAAGACATTTGGAATGTCAACTAAAAAAATGTATTTATTATCTAAATATGTCATGTGATGAAATGTTATTTTTTATTTAAATGAATAATAAAAGATTCTATATAATTAAGAAATTCGTAATTAAATAACTTAGAACTAATATTAAGGGAATATTAATAAGGTAATAAATATTAATTAATCTAATATTAATACTTAAGGAATTGTTGTTATCATCTATTGGTACATTATTTCCACCTTGTTTATTTGGACTAGTGAAATTATTATTAAATACAGATTCATTAAAAGATAAACTAACATTAACATATTGTAAATCTACACTAGAATTCCATATTACAAGACAATAATTATCTGAATCTTTTATTGGTATTGCTCCTGTGTTTTGATCACATTTCATCACGTAATCTCTATAACAAGATAATGATGATATGAATTTAGTGTTGGATGAATAAACAACCAACGATATTACTCCTACTTTTGATGTTAGTAATAGTGGTTGTTCTTGTCCTGGCCTTGATATTCCATAATTTGGTGTTATTGGAAATGAATCATTCACCACTCTCAGACTATAGCCTATTTATTATAATAAATAACATTATTATTGTTGTTATTATTGTTATTATTGTTATTATTATTATATTATTATGATATTGTAATTCTTTTCTACTTAATTAATCATACTTACTAACATATTTTGTTGCTTGTTCAGAACATAATGTCCAAGTTCCATTATTAGGAGAAATTTGTACTGTATTGTATGGAATCCTTAGTATGTCAGTTGTTGATAATTGTGTCATAGATGATCTTATCTTTTTAATTTGTAAACAAGTAAGTAATCAGGTTAGTAACTATGAATGGTTGGGTTGGTTATAAGAATTTATATATGATGCTAATTTAATTAATTAGATATTTATGACTACCTGGAAAATTAAAATTATTATTATTATTATTACAAGATTGAATTGTCTCATCCACTTCCTGCTAATCAACTCCATACTTTATACTTTACAAAAATAAAATCTAAATCGATCACAATTGATGAATTGACTGATTAGCTTGGTTGATTTAATTTATTTTTTTGATCCTAAATCTCAATTTTTATTAAAAAATGAGATTTTTAACAATGGAAAATATATGTACAACATAATAAATTTAAAGTTGTTATTGTAGAAAAAAATTATATCCGAAATTATACTTCAGATAACCGGTTTTTTTAAAAATCTGGTTAAATTTGGTACAAATCATTTTTAATTGTATTCGTGTGACATATCCCCGAGTCTGCTTTTCTATATTAATATTAATATTAATATGTGAAATTAAATTCGTTTTTTTAAATATCTAATAAACTCGAACTTCGTTGTTAGACTAAAATGAAAGTCGTCCATTAAAGCTTTTTTAATAATACTCTTTCATGTCGAAAAGCCTTCTTTGCATGAATTCACGGCTATTCAAAAACGGTATTACTTTTTCACTTCAAAGCTCAGATTATTTCTCAATATCGCTTTAAAAGACTTGATAGTAAATGAGAAGGTGTAGAGTACTTTAAGCTTTCATATGGTCATTACTTTATGGGGATATTGGTCAATAAGTTTTAGAGAGGTTCACGAAAATCTATTTTATAGAATTTTTAATATAGTCATGAAGAATTTTATGTAGATGGGATTCAGCAAAAACTAAAGGTATTTTATTAGTGATTGTTTTATATTTCTGATTTTATATTGATTAAAGTTTCATTAATGATTATTATGAATATCCATCAATCAATAATTGTTATAGCAACATTAAACAATCATATGCAAACGACGACAACGAATCATCTTTTTTAAGGATGATAATAAAGATTAAGATCCAGTTTGTATAGTAGTGATCGAAGTAAGCATTAAGGACAAGATCTATGAACAAAATATACTAACAAACGTTTTATCAATTATTCAATAATTTGTATAGGAGCGATCGAAGTAAGTATTAAGGACAAGATCTATGAACAAAACATACTAACAAACGTTTTATCAATTATTCAATAATTTGTATAGAGTGATCGAAGTAAGCGTTAAGGACAAGATCCATGAACAAAACATACTAACAAACGTTTTATCAATTATTCAATAGTTTGTATAGAGTGATCGAAGTAAGCGTTAAGGACAAGATCTATGAACAAACCATACTAACAAACGTTTTATCAATTATTCAATAGTTGTATAGGTGTGATCGAAGTAAACATTAAGGACAAGATCTATGAAGCTTGCAATGCAAGTTTCACAAAAATGAACGTTTTATCAATCATTCAATAGTTATGTTTATTATTTATTTATGCATATAAATTTCTCTTTTATTTTAACTTATATTTAATAACATCATTATGATAAATAACTAAATGAATAAAGTCAGAGAACACCTTTTAATTTAATCATTATTGTTGCTTGTTTATTATTTATTTATGTATATAAATTTCTCTTTTATTTTAGCTTATATTTAATAACATCACTATGATAAATAATTAAATGAATAAAGTCAAAGATAAAACACCTTTTAATTTAATCATCATTGTTCTTGTTTATTATTCTAATCATTATTTATGTATATAGGTAAAGAAAATTTTTAAAATCTATTTATTTATTATATTTACTTTTAAAATAAATGATTTTACTATAAAAGACATACTTAAATGATCAAAAATCTGTAAATATTCATAATAATGTAATATTTGGACATTTATTTCTGCTTATACTTGCAATTGGACGCGTCAAACAAAATTTTACGCATATGAATATAAAGGCAAAATTTGACTTTGAGGGTCAGATTATTTTCGGTTTTATTAACAACCTGCTTTAAGATTTTTCATAAAGTAGATACATATGATAAAGAAATTATATCTCAAATTTGGTGGTGGTTGCTACACAGCAAGGATATCAAACGAGGGTGTGAAGTCATTCGATTACATCCAAATTTTATAACCTCTTATAGATCGGCGGGAAATGCCCTGTGACTGATAACTACTACTACCAAAAGATATGCCGGAACAAGGGTATCGATTTTGTAATTAACTAATAAATTCAAGTTTTCAATGTATTGGAGGTTTCATATTTATAGTTGTAGAAAGTGTTTGCGTCAGAGTTGTCAGATATGTTGTTTTTGAGTGAGTAGAGGAATGATGGTGTTTTGGGGCTGTTGATTGGGATTGAGTTTGGCTTGTTATTAGATTATTTTTAGCACTATAAATACCACCCTAACATTGCGTTTGCATAATTTACTAATTGATCCATTCATCATGCATGGATTTATATAGTCATTGATTAATATATAAATTTTTTTTTTCAAATAAAAGAAACATAAAATAATCTTCACAGTTTATTAAGATCTAAATTTTTTTTAGTTTACAAACTATAAAATAAATAATTTATGATAATAATTTACAAATTACCATGCCAGTTCTTTGGAATTATTATTACAACTATTATCAATAATACTATTTTTATTAGCTTCACTTCCACAACTACCAATCTGTTCGTTATTAGCCACAGCTTCTCTAAATAATTTAATTCCGTATTTTTCATACATTTTTGTTACCCCACCAGCTGCAATCAATCTCTCTTCCATCAAAGATAATCTGAATTTAAATTCCTTCTCGCAACAAATAACTTTTCGATTCTTAACATCAATCGTTACTTCCTCCCCTTCTTGCGCCAATTTATAAAATTCATCATCGTCTACTGTAATACCTAAAAGTGCCATATTCGGCTTAAATTTATTAAATAATAAGAAATAATAATATTTATTATTTATGTGCTAGTTCAAATATTAAATAAAAATAAAATTATATGTATATATATATATATGATATTTAATATTCATTCACCTGATTTCTACTATAAATATAAGCATAACTTTTTGCAATGACGGCTTTAATTCCTGCACCTTTTAAGGCTCTAGGAGCTTCTTCTCTGGAACTACCTGATCCAAATCCCGCACCAGCAACTACAATGTCTAAACCATCCTTAACTTTTTGTACAAAATCTGGTTTGACATATTGAAATGCATGGCTGCCCAAGTCTTCGTCACTTGTGCCTGGCATAAATTGTGCTGGTATAATTGCATCAGTGTCAATATTATCTTCAAATCTTTGAACTTTACCTTTGATCGTTGTTGGCAAAGTTTCTGCTTCTGCCGATGAATTAGCTGATGGACCTTCTGATGAACCTTCTGATAAATTGTTTGAACCTTGTAAAATAGGATTTGGTTCAGAAATAGTAATCGAAACTTTTTTATCTAACCATTCGTTAAGATATTCTTTATATTTTTCTACATCAACACTATTAAGTAGATCTGTTGGATCTTTAACTAACATTTCAAAGGATGATGCTGCCACTGTAGCAGCTGATGCTAAATTTCCAATAGCCCCTTTTCCCTATTATTAATAAATTCAACCATTAATTAAAACAAAATATATTTAAATCAATCAATCGATCGACTAATCTCTCACATGTATAATACTCACCATTCTATTTCTGAAATTACGATTTTGACTACTAAGCCAAATCTCACCTTCTCCTGCATGATCTGCTGCAACTGCAATACAATATGAACATCCTGGTGCTCCAATTTCAAAACCAGCTTGTTCATAAATTTTTAATAATCCTAATCTTTTTAATTTTGCTACAATTGGCAAACTGCCTGGAGTGACTTTTCTTATCCCTGTTATGGTTGGTCTTAATCCTTTCTTTAATCCTTGTTCTAATACCATTGCTGCTAAAATTAAATCTTCTTCTGCTGTTGTACATGCTCCTATAAATACCCCATCAAGTTTTTTGCCTTCAACTTCTTTAGCCTTTACAACATTATCAGGTGATGGGTACAATGCAACTAAAGGTTCGATTTTTGATAAATCTATTATGTGAGTTTCTGCATATTGTGCATCAGGGTCTGCCTTAAAATATAATGCTGAATTTTTATGTGAAGGATTTTTTCGTTTTGCAATAAACGCTGCTGTGATTTCATCAGCTTCACAAACACCTGCTATACCTCCAAATTCAGTAGCCATATTGGAAATGGCAAATCTTCCATCACATGAAAGATATTGAAGCCCGGGTCCTGTATACTCAACAGCTCTTTCAAACGCCACCGTATTTCTTTTAAGTTCACCAAGTACATGTAAAATTGTATCTTTACCACCAATACCAAATCTAGGTTTGCCTATAAATTTTATTTCAACTGTTTCAGGCACTTTAAACCATGTCTCGCCTGTTATCATGGGCATAACCACATCAGCTGCACCTAATCCAACAGCAAATGCGCCTACCGAACCTGCTGAACAAGTATGTGAATCAGCACCGATAATCATTTGACCTGGTTGAGCTCTTTCACGATAAAATTCTGTGTGTAATATTGTATGATTTGGTTTGTAGAAATCAACCAATTTAGCTTCTTTAGCAAATTCCTCAGATGCTTTGATAAGTCCTTTAGGCTTGGGCAAATGATTTATGCGTGGGTCAACTGAATGATCAATAGCTAACCAAAACCTGTCATTACGATAAATACTTGGTCTACCCATAATATCATAAGTTTTTTCCATTCCTTTCCAAGTAAGCTCCGAAGCTAAAGTCCAATCAACAGAGACACAAATCATGTCACCTGGTTTAACATCTCCAGGTGGTTGTAAACCAATAGCAGAATGCGTGATGATTTTTTCACAAATTGTCATTCCTCTACGTCCAGAAGGCCTTTCAAAAATCAAATTGCGCTTTGGATTTACATTTAAAATGCGATCTTCTGAATTTATTCCTTCTAAATATCCTTCAAG